GTCAATTTTCAAAATACTAATTTTTTCCCGTTATGGGTGGAATGAGATCATCGACCCTCTCGTTCATCTTCAGAGTCAGAGAAAGTTTAGTTTAAAGTGTTTCAACTTCTCCCAACCGGATTCTATCCGCGTAAATCATGCTGTCAACACCTTGACCAAAAGAGAAGGAAAGGATACACTCTGGTCAGTCCTTGTCGCCACTAAGTCTACCTATCTCTTTGGGTTTACTGTCTTTACATTTTCTGCAAGTTCTGGGCTCTTTATTTTTTAGAATGCTTCTAAAATATAAGCAATGGTATAGTTTTCATAATAAATTTAGATCGGGGTTCGTAACAATATATATATATATATATATATATATATATATGTAATTCCGGTCTCGAAATTTAAATCTTTACCGGTGGAAATGCAACTTGACGATCATGAATTAGATAAAAAAAACTGAAGTTTTACAAAACATCATTGCTTGCTTCGCCATTTTACATGTTGTTAACCGTTAGGTCACTCTTACCTAATCAGATACTGTGTTGTTTTTTTTGTTTTTTATTTTTTTATTTTTTTTTATTTTTGTTTAACCAGTCAGTGCTGCTTGTTTTATCGCTGTTGGAAGTGAAAAAAAGACTTGAGCATTGCGTTGAAAACGTAAAATAAAATGCAAAATAAATTAATGCTGTGTGATAATGGAAAATTTTATTTTCTGCTTCTTTACGATGAAATGAAAATAACTCCATCCTTTCTCTCTTCATTTTTTCATTCGTTCGTTTTTTTTTTCTGTTCTTTCTTTTAGTTCCTGGATCAGTCCGGTCAGATTATCAAGAAGATCTGGGCTTGGGGACAGATTTTTCTTCTTTTTTTTTTTTTTTTTTTAAATCTCTCTATCCTAGATTAAAACAACTTAACGAGATTCCCACGCCAGATTTTCTGGCCATCATCCCGGATTAAAACTGATACCTTATGAGTTGAAAGAAGATTATGTCCATCCACTGTATGAACAAGCCCAAGATGTCAGCCCTGCCACACCCACCCCCAAAACTCCTCCAGTAGATTTTGAAGATCAAAGGAGAGGATGCCATTTTAAAGATTGATCCATTTATTTGCTTTCTCGTCATTAGTTCCTGTTTAATAAGAAGGAAAACGTTCTGTTAAGATTATCGCATTTGTAATCAACGTAATCCGAGGGAAGGTCAAATAAAAAGGGATCGTATGAAATGGCGACGTGGGGAAAAATCAGAAATTTTAATAAAGACGATGGTAATAAATAGGGCGTGAAAAAAAACAAGTTATCTAATAAAGTGATGTTATATTGATGGTGTAGTTTGGAAAAAACTAAAAAGAAATGTTTGAAAATCACAGAGAAATAAAACTAAAAATAAATGTCTAGTAACGTCTTCAAGTAAAATGCTTTCTAGAAATCGAAGATAATTCTATGAAGTTTTGCCAACGTTACAATATGGGGATTTACAATGTATAGCTTCTCTCTTCTTCTTCTCCTTGTAACGACATTCACCCGAGGTGGGTTAAGCCGGCTCCAATATTGAAGTTTCATGTATATCACATGAGATTTGATTATAGTGTTGAAGGCCTCGTGCAGGACCATCCACACTTTTTGAAGGGCCGAATACAGAAACCTGGTGTACTACGTGCCACAAGGTCCTCTCTGCAGGTTTTGAATTCAGAGTTTTCCTTCTCCTAGACCAGTTGCTATCCATGGCTATAGAACCCAGTCTGTCCTGCTATTTACCCATAGCTGGAGGGAGAAGAAGAGGATTCACAAGGGTATTAGCACGTAAGTGAATGTAATGGATTCGACTGGAATTCGAACTCGGATCACCGATTCCTCAATCCAAGCCGCTATCCATTAATCCACCGTGCCTTCTCTATGTATAGCTTAGAGATGAAACAACGTTGCAAATATGGCGCAGCTAGTAAGGAACAAACTCACTATTCAGTTGTCATAGATCTAACAAGATAATATTGCCAACCGTTACACCACGTAATAATGCCTATGTTACAACATAAGTATTTACTAATCTTAACTTAGATGTGGCACAATAGGGCAGCTCCATTTTGGACTTTTCTTATTGCGTTCAATTTCAAAGATGGTGTGTCACATGATAAATAATGACATAAAATATTTTTTTCCAAATCATTACCATTCTGAGAGGAAACGAGTTTAAAATATTAAGTTTAAGTTCAAAATAGTAGCGTTAGAATTTCATTCTGATGACTAGTGAAAGCATTACATAAAATTATAAAATTTATAATTTACTAAAGCTTTAAAAACTGTATAAGGACAAGATGCATGGCACAAGCATATTATTAATAAATCATTTTACTATCAAATAAGACCTTCATTTACTTCAAAGAAAAATTATACTGAAATATTTAGCTATATTATGATGTAATATATTATACAATGCAGTAGTTTTAGTGTGAATTTCAATAAACAATGCAAATTTAACATATTTTTCTTTTAATTTATGCCCAGCTTTATTTCTTTATTTTTTTAAGCGTTTCATCCCAAACAAGGCGAGAAGCCAGTAAGACGCAAGGGGTTACAGAAAAATTTGGAGCAGGATCAGATAGGAGTGATAGAAGAAAGGATGAGGAGAAGGGCAGTGGATAGATCAAGGCAACTGGAGATGTCGATTGACATTACATTTGAATAACTGGAGATTATAGCTCTCAGGGAAAGTGGAATAGGGAAGGGAGTTCCACAGGCGAGAGGTGCGAGGCATGAAGCTATTGGAGTAGAAGAGACGGATACATTTAGTAGTTTCGACAGTGAAAGGGTGAGAGTGGGATGCGAGCCTCGTAGGGCGCTTGAACTCATGTAGTCTGGGAACCAGCGAATGCAGCTCCTCGGAGCAATTGCGATGAAAGTATTTGTAAAACAGACAAAGAGAGGCGACCACGCGTCTGTGACAAAGTGACTGTAGACGAGATGCCAGATCAGGGCCAATTATATTGCATATCCGCCTCTGAAGCCTATCAAGAACCCCGAGGCAAACAGAAGGGGCCCCATGTTACAGTTTTTGTGTATATGTATGTACATATATAAATAGTGAGTTAGTCCAAATGCCTTGACTCGCTTTATAGTCTACCAATAGAAGGTTAACCAATCAGAAGACACAGAACATTCAATCCGTCGTGTATAAAGGCGGCCATTTTGTTCACTCTACCCGAATGTCCAGTCCAGCTTGTCAGGCGAAGATGAACAGAAGGACGAACTATGCTCTGCTACTTTTACCGAAATATCCACTGCTAACCTGAACAAGGCTTTCCTACTGTCTTCGAAATATTCACTGCTAACCTCTGGATTCTATACTCGAAGACGACCGTAATGATGTATAACACTCCAGACCATATATGGCAGCAATACTCCATGCAAGGGCGAATTGTGGTATTATACAAACTTTTATCTATTTTTTTTTATTTTTATTTATTATGATCTAACAAACCTTATTCATTCAGTAGCCTTTTTTTGTAATCTTTTACAATTTTTTCTCAGTTTTTACTTATCGTATGCAGTAATCACAATTGTATAGTTTGCTTGTGATGATTCCTAATTAGAATTCTGGTTTGAATATATTTTCCATTCAGCGTATCTAATACAATAACTATAAAGTTTATTTGCATATGTTCTTGAAGGAGTACAATTTTGAAAACAGTCTGTAAGCAAAAACTTGCAGAAATGAGATATTTCTATGCATTAATTTTCAGACGATATTTAAAACTAAATACCAAAAATTGCTTCAAGCTATGAATTTAATTTTTTTTTGTGGTAGTACTTAACACATGAAATCCCAGCTTTCACACCGAGTGCAGTATTGATTTACTAAATAACGTGAAAACTCAATGTGCCCTAGTGGCATAAGGCGGCAAATATGGAGCAGCCAGTGAGGATCGAAATACTTGTAATAAATCTAGCAAAACGAGATGGCTAAGCATCACTCCACGTCTTAGTACCCAGGATTTACTAAGTGCAGCTTAGATGTGGCACAATGCCTCAAGTATGCAGCACCCAGCGAGGATCGAACTCACAACTCAGTCGTAACTGATGTCGTAAGACAAGCTTGTTAACGACGTTGTAGTGCCCATCTTACAGTATTAATAAATATTCGTCAATGGCTGGCAAATAAATAATATAATCACATTTGACACTCAATTAAAACCTTCTTGTCTTTTACGAAAATTTTTAATCATCCAATGATTTTGCAGAAATGTAATGGTTGTAGGATTTCATACTGAGGCACTTCGAAGTGGTGTAATGGCTAACAAGCTAATCTCTCTAGAACATTACGACTGAGTAGTTAGTCCTACTCTCAATGTGTGCTCCATACTTAGGCCTTGTGCCACATCTAAACTATGCTTTGTACATCACTATATTGTAACGTTCGCAAGACTTCATGGGGCACATGTAAACTATGCTTGCTAAATTGTTAATGGTCCCCCGAATAATATTAGTTGTTCGGGCATTGTAGTATTATGTCACCGGCAGGTAGAGGTGTTCGCTCTTCTACTGAGAATATTGTTCAAGTCTCGGGGTGGGGGCATCCCTCCAGGCAATACCTCTCTTTCTGGAGGAGGTTGGTTTTATTGCGCGATGCCTGAGGGGTCACCAAAATGGGGAGTTCCGAGGGGGCTTCAGAGTTTTTATACGTTATTGTCGACTAAACCACTTTAAACTCGACTTTCTGTCACATAGGTGACGTAGGGGCGGGGCCAAATACCTGTTTTAATGGCTAACAAGTTTGACTTGCTTGTCCAATTATAATTGTCTCGTGAGTTCAGTTCTCACTGGGCCTTCCATATTTGCGAACTTGTGTCACATCTAAGCTACGCGTAGTAAATCACCCAAGCCATTTGATGTAATGAATATGCATACACCTGGGCTCCCCGTTCACAGTAATATGATTGGCTGGTGTCAGCCATAAATACAGATTGATATGGAGGTACATGGTCTACGCCTATTGCCTACGCCTATTGTCTACCACTAC